AAACAGACATTTCTCCAAAGAAGACATACAGATGGCTAACAAACACATGAAAAGATGCTCAACATCACTCATTATCAGAGAAATGTAAATCAAAACCACAATGAGGTACCATCTCACGCAGGTCAGAATGGCTGCTATCAAAAGTCTACAAACAATAAATGCTGGAGAGGGTGCAGAGTAAAGACAACCCTCTTACATTGTTGGTGGGAATGCAAACTAGTACAGCCACTCTGGAGAACAGTGTGGAGATTCCTTAAATTACTGGGAATCGAACTGCCATACAACCCAGCAATCCCATTGCTGGGCATACACACTGAGGAAAACAGAATTGAAAGAGACACGTGTACCCCAATGTTCATCGCAGCACTGTTTACAATAGCTAGGACATGGAAGCAACCTAGATGTCCATCGGCAGATGAATGAATAAGAAAGCCGTGGTACATGTACACAATGAACTATTACTCAGCTATTAAGAAGAACATATTTGAATCAGTTCTGATGAGGTGGATGAAACTGGAACCTATTATACAGAGTGAAGTAAGTCAGAAAGAAAAATGCCAATACAGTATATTAACACATATATATGGAATTTAGAAAGATAGTAATGATGACTCTATATGCGAGACAGCAAAAGAGACACAGCTATAAAGAATAGACTTTTGGACTCTATGGGAGAAGGTGAGGGTGGGATGATTTGAGAGAATAGCATGAAATGTATATTACCATATGTGAAATAGATCACCAGTCCAAGTCTGATGCATGAAAGAGGGCACTCAAAGCCGGTGCACTGGGGCAACCCTGAGGGATGGGATGGGGAGGGAGGTGGGAGGGGGGTTCGGGATGGGGGACACACGTACAGCCGTGGCTGATTCATGTCAATGTATGGCAAAAACCACCACTATATTGTAAAGTAATTAGTCTCCAATTAAAATAAATTAATTAATTTAAAAAAAAGAATACTGGAGTGGGTTGTCATGCCCGCCTCCAGGTGATCTGCCTGACCCAGGGATCGACACTGCATCTCTTACATCTCCTACGTTAGCAGGCGGATTCTTTACCACTAGGGCTTCCCTGGTGGCCCAGCTGGTGAAGAATCTGCCTGCAATGCGGGAGACCTGGGTTCAATCTCTGGGTTGGGACGATCCCCTGGATAAGAGAATGGCTACATACTTCAGTATTCTGGCCTGGAGAATTCCATGGACCCCATGGTCCATGGGGTCGCAAAGAGTTGGACACAACTGAGCAACTTTCACTTCACTTTTTATCACTAGTGCCACCTGGGAAGCCCATAAACCCGTAGGATATCATATCATACCTGGTATAAGCAAAGGGCTGCTTAAGCTTTAAAGGTGGTGGTGAGTGAAGACACAGATGCAGAGCCCAGTGGTCTAATGGTAGTCTAATCCGAGGCCCCACGACTACAGTTCTTGTTCAGTCTACTCCTGGCTTAACAGTGATATCAGGTGACAAAACCTGAGGCACAAATCATGAGGGCCACTTGCCAGTTTCCCTGAGATCTGGTTCAGTGCCTCCCATTTGCTCCTTTCAGAGGCAAACACTAATGCTACCTGAGTGGCCTGCCTCAGGTTTATACATCAGTCTCTTGTGAGTTTGGTGGGTATATCGAAACCGTATCAGGGATTTCCCCAGTGGTCCAGTGGCTGACTCCATGCTTCCAACGCAGGGGGTCAGGGTTTGATCCCTGGTCAGGGAACTAGATCCCACATGCAGCAACTGAGAGTTTGCAACCTCATCTAAAGATCCTGCATGCCGCAACTAAGACCTAGCGCAGCCAAATAAAGATATTTTAAAATAAATTTTAAAATGATATCAATATTAGATATATTGTTGAAATTCAGTCACTAAGTTGTGTCTGACTCTTTGCATGGACTGCAGCATGCCAGGCTCCCCTCTCCTCCACTATCTCCTGGAGCTTGCCCAAATTCAGGTCCACTGAGTTGGTGATACTGGATATATTGGGGGGGGGAATCCCATTCTTGAACATGCAAAAGGTAGGTGGGCCACAATGACCCCAATGTGGGTGGGCCATGACGACCCCAGGCCCAACACAGCCCCTTGGCATCCTCATCTGGGTAGCTCTGAGGCTTCTACTGAAGATTTCTTGGAACTAAAACAGGGTGGGTCAAGAAAAAGGGAGAAAACTACAGACAAAGATGGAGAAGGCTGCAATCTGAAGTTGGGCCACCTGGGTTTAACTTTCAGCTCTACAAGCTGGGCAACCTTGGGCAAGTGCTCCAACCTCTCTGAGCCTCAATTTCCTCATCTGTTGACATGGGGATGATGACTGTTCAACCCTACTGATTTGCTTTAGGGATTAAATGGGGATGCCAACACTTAAAAAAGCTGAGCACTTAATAAAGAGCCACAGTAGCCATGTATGTGTAGTTTAATGTTCTGAGGAAAAGGAGGGAGGGAGAGAGAGAGGGAGGGAGGCAGGGAGGGCTTCTTAAGGAGATGTTTCCTCCCCAGGGGTGGAATGCAGCCATGCAAATTCTGACACCCATCCCCCACTGCAAACTCAGCACTCTCCCAGAGAACAGCTGCCTTGGGGTGTCCATGACCCAGCTCTGTGGCCACCTCTTGCCATGGGAAGCTCACTAATGGCGACAGAGAGGTCTCCACTGGAAGCTCCCAGGTGATGCTGAAGCTGAGGCCGCTCAAAGCCAGCCATGGTTTTGTCTGCCTCTGCCGAAATCCCCCAATGCCCCTACCTCATCCCCCACGCCGCCCCTCCAACAATGTGCCGGCTCAGGCAGTGGCAGTGGGCCTGCCATGCCTCTGTATGCTCTGGGGCCAGGGGGCCAGGACAGACACATCCGGAGAAGTTTCTTGGGAAAGTACCTTGGATCCGGGGTGAATCTGGTCCACTTGTCACATATGAAGATACAAAAGGAGGAAAGGGGAAGTGGAAAAAAAGGGAAATTGGTCCAATAACCATTTAATGGGCTGATCCAGGATGGCAATCGGGGCAGAGGGAGGAGGAAGCCAGGTGGAGGCACTGGCTTTGCCCAGCAAGGTTGTCAGCCATACTTCAGAATCAAGCGAGCCCAGGATGGGCCAGTGGAGCTGGACCAGGGCCTCAGTACCTAGCAGGAGTGAGGGCTACACATGCATGTTTCATGCACTCGCCTCTGCAGGGCTGCACTGCGACTCCAGACAGAACACGCTCAGAAAGGTATTTCCTCTGCAAGTTGGGCCTTCCATAAAATCACAGCAGCAGCATGTCACCTTCACAGGTGACATGGGGAGCGGGGGATGTGTCCCCCACACTTCAGTGTCAAGGAAGGCAGCCTCGTTGCAGCTATGGGGGCACAAGACCACAGACCCAGGTGTGGGGACCCCTCCCCAGCGCCCAGCTAGGGCAGCCAGCCCCAGGGCAGCGCCGTCCTGTAACCAGAGGAGGACCACGGTCCCCTCCCACCCAACAGACTGCGTGTTTCTAAGGCTGTCCCAAGTTTCCGTTCCCATATCAAAAGCACCTCTTTTCTGCTGAGGCGGCAAGACCTGCCAACAAAACAAGCCTCTGGGACCCACATTTCTGTAAAATGCCTTCCCTTGAAAGGCACTTCAATGAATCACTGAGGTTAAATAGTATCAGCAGCTGGGTTGGTGGAAGAAATCCTTGTGTAAGTCGGACAGAGGTGCTTGGGTAGGGGTCCCTCTGTGCCCTGCCCACCCCCCTAATACCCCGATCTTGACTGCCAGCACCTCCTCTCCAGGCCCCCAAACGGAAAACCAGACATGCCTGAGATCCTGCACATGGAGCTGGATGATTCCTTCCTTGGGAAGTGATCCTTTTAGCAGCGAGGGAGCCAGTCACCCAGAGTGCCCTGCATCTGGTCACGCCCCCCTCCCCCCCCGCCCCCGTCTGGGGAGCCCATGGGTCTGCCGCTGAGGCATCGCCTGGGAGCTGGTTGGAAATGCAGAGTTGTGGGCCTGGCCCCAGCTGACTGCCTCTGAGCAGCCCTATCACTGGTGATCCGTGTGCCCAGGTGGGTGGGGGCTGTGGCCTGGGTCCTCCCCAAGGTAGAGGCTGGCAGGAAACACATCAGAAAGAAAGAAAACAGAGGCCTGTCCAGCCTGTTCCAGGAAGCCAGTCCTGAAACATAATGGACTCCCAAGAAACCAAATCTAGAAGCCGACAAGTTTAACAGAAGTCACGGGCAGAGCCTGGCAGGGCCCTGTCCTAGCTAGACCCACAAGGGCAGGGGGCGCACAGAACAGGCTATAGATTCCTTGGCCCCCAGGCGTTCTAGAAGCCCTAGGTCTATCGGGGTCTTGGGAAACCCAAGGCAGTGGCAACACCTCTCCCAGGCCCTCCTCTGCTCCCTAGCTCTCTCTGCTCCTCCAGATAGCCATGATTCCCCAACTAGCCAAGCCAGCCCGCAGCCTCCAAGAGCCTCATGCTTTCTTGCAGCCACACCTGCAGCCCTTGCTTTCACTTCAAACAACCCCACCCGACCAGAATCCAGGCCCTCCGAGATCAATCCTGGCCCTCTTGGCCACGGAGCTGTCCCTGGCTGGCCTCCACGACCTGGGCTGCTTCACAGCAGGTCTCCGTCTCCCTGCAAAAATCTCCCCCAGAACTAGCTCAGGACCCTGGATCCTGCCGGAATCTAGAATGAAGGTCATCCCTGGCCCCTAGCAGCACCCTGGCCCAGGTCCACAATCCTGGCCACGACCCACTCCTACACGGCCTGCCCGCAAGTATTGACCTCACGGTCTCTCGGACACCTACCGGAGGATTGGCGGAGTTCTGGAATGTTTCGGGCCAGTGCCCGGGGATGGGGGAGCTCCAGGAGGGAAGCCCTCAATCCCCGGGCCGGGGGAGACGGAAGCGGAGTGCAGGCAGCTCGTTGGTGCCCTAGGAGCAGGGTGCCTCCCTGCCAGTGGCCGGGCCCTGCGGGTCCCCAGGCCTCCCTCGCTCGGCTGGATCAGCCCTGGCCGGAGTGAGCTCCACCGTCACCAAGGGGAAGCGGCCCTTGGTTACCGCTGGCCGGGAGAACACAGAAGGCAAAACAAACACTGGACTGGCTCCTCACTGCTGGGAACAATTACAAGGTAATCGGCCAGTTTTTAAAAGCCCTCCAGAAGGGAGGCTGCTGGCCCAAGGGGAAGCTGGTTTGTAACCCATTCTCTCCCTCCTGCTGCTGCTGCATCCTCCTCAAGACCCAGAGACCCTCTTTCCACCCCGCACAGAGACCCCCGGCAGAGCAAGGCTGGAGTTTCAGAGGAAGTGGGGCACACAGTCCCAGGTGGGCCGAGTGCCACTTCAGTGCCCAAGGTACGTTCCAAGACGACAGGTGGGCCCCACCCGGCAGGTGTGGACCCTGGCCAGCCTGCAGGGGCAGACTCGCTTGGTCCCCTTCTGAGGTCCCTTTCCAGCAATAATCAGCTCTCTTGTCCCCAAGCAACTTGTCATGAAACTAACAGAAACTCACCAGTGAAGAGTAAAGAGCTCGTTTACCAGGCTCCAGCTGGGGCTGATGGACCATCAGCCAGGACGGTGCCCAGGTCATGGCCAACCCCCAAGGACTGTCCCCAGGGAGGGAGGTGCTTCAGGTACAGCCCGGGCACTGATCCCCAACTGTTGCCTGTCAGCAGACCTGGGACCCACAGCCAGTCACGTACCTCCTCTTAGAAGACATCCCAGAGCCCGGGGTCTTTGTTGTGACTCCAGACCCATATGAAGAAACCGTGGGGAGCCCCCAGTGGACAGTGGGTGGGCTGAGTGACACCCAACCCCATCTCCAGGTCCCCCCAGGTGGGGGCACGTACAGGAGGAGGATTCCTCCACCCCCACTGCGGATCCTCTGTGTCCTCCAGGCAATGGTTCAAGCCTCCCTCTCCCCCTGCTCCCTCACAGGGAAGGTGCGGCACCTTTCTGGGGCCAGATGGCTGACCTCAGATGGGGAACGTGGCGGCAGGTCCAAACCCCAGACAAACAGGGCCTGTCTCACCCTCTTAAATTCCCCTACCCCACCCTGCAGAGGACACTGGTTAGTTCTCCCATCCTGTAGAAGTCACGTTGGTCTCAGGAGAGGAGAGCTCGCCTTGGTTTCACGGACCTCCTAGGGGACAGAGATTTGGAGAGACAGAGACACACAGAGACAGAGAAAGAAACAGAGAGACAAGGACAGAGAGAGAAAACGAGAGGTACAGACAGTCAAAGAGACTCAGAGAGAGAGCAGAGAAAGAGAGAGACAGAGACAGAGACAGAGAGACTCAGAGAGACAGAGAGAAAGCAGAGAAAGAAGCTGGAAAGGAAGCATAGGAATGCGGAGCAGGAGGGTGGAGGCCCCACGGCCTCACCAGACTTGCGTTGGCCCAGGGTCCCATCAGGAGGGCGGGGCTGAGGCTCTGGGTGGGAGCTGCACCCCCTCCCCCGTGGTACTCAGAGGGGGACCCTTCCCCAGTAAGGCACCCAGAGGAGCAGGGTAGTGAGGAGCTGGGGGCGGGGTGGGAAGTTGGGGTGCATCTCTGCCCACCTCCAGCCTCACCCTGCCCCCTCCCAAAGGGAGTTTCCTGTCCCCAAACCAGGGAGATCTTGAAGCTAAAGCAAGTCAGCAGCCTCACTGGCCAGCGCAGCCAGTGGCCGCAGGGAGGGAGCCTGGGCTCCTGCAGGTGCAAGGACCAGCCTGGGCTGTGCTTTGGAAGCGGAAGGGGGACCGACAGTGGTCACAGCGGCAGTGGCAGCTTCCCTAGACAGGCTGAACACCTTGAGGAGTCCCCGCTTTTTAAAAAGTCAAATCAGCACATTTGGAGGTAAAGACCTGGCCTACGTGAGTACCTGGTCACCCTGCTGTCCGGCCTAATCTCTCTCTGCTTGTCTCAGAGGGACCCAGGGCCCAGTCCGTGCCCTCACCTGCCCCAGAGGCATAGAGCTGTTCTCTAGGGGGTGCTGAGTGGTGGCAGTTAACACTGGGGTTAGAGCCTCAGATGTTGCTCTGAGATGCTGAGAACAGAAATGGAGCATTTCTGGGACAACTGGATAGAAACTATCAGAAAGACCACTCCACCTCTCACTTGAGTTGATGGAGAAGTTTCTTTCAGACATCCAGGTTTGACTTTGATCCCAGATAAGGAAGAGAAGGGGCCAAGCATCCCTGGGCTATGATACCAGAACCCCACTTGGCATCCCCCCCAACACATTCCTGCCTCCCTTGAGGACCTGGGCATGGCAAACGTGGCTGCCGTACCCAGAGGGAGCCTGGTTGGCTGGGGAAGGGGTCACTTAGTGCCACTTTCTGTTTAAATATCCACAAACTGGCATTTTCGGTAGTCTTTCTCCTCACATGGTGAGGAAAATTTAAGCCGTCACGAAAAAGTAAAGAGCTTCTTACCCTGCTCTTCTCTTACCACTAACGATCCATTTGGTAAATTTGATGCACTGTCCCCCAAGGCAGAGCCTGGTGGGAGTGGTGGGGAGGAGACAGGACAGCAAACTGCCTAGTAACCACTGCCTCCCAGCAGAGATGCTGTCTTCAAAGAGCTACAGTAGAAGCAGGATGCTCGACCTTGGGGGTTGCTGAGATGGGTGGGGGTGGAGGTGGGGTGCGACTCTTGGGGACATCCCCTTTGAGGGGTTCTGACCAAAGCTGGGATTTTAATAGCAAGGGTGAGCTGAGGGAGGAAGCAGACAGACACCACCCTGACCCTTGCCGTGAAAGAACCCTTCCCCCGCCAAAAACAGAAGTGAGGAGGTATATTTGGGACCCAAAGGGTGGTCAGGAGATTAGAATGGCATTTGGGAATTTTGAGCAGTAACTGGAGAGAGGGAGAGAGAGGAGGGAACATAGTTTGGATGACAAAGACCTTGAATGTCATGACAGGGAGTCCGGGCTCAGGCACACGTGCCAGGTGGGGAGGCGACAGGTCAGAAAGCCTGCTCCTGGGCTCCCTGGTGGTCCAGTGGTTGGGAAGATCCCCTGGAGAAGGGATGGGCTATGCACTCCAGTATTCTTGCCTGGAGAATCCCATGGACAGAGAAGCCTGGCGGGCTACAGTCCATGGGGTCGCAACAAGTCGGACATGACTGAGTGACTAAGCACACACTGTAGTTAAGAATCTGCCTGCCAATGCAGGGGGCGTGGGTTTGATCCCTGGTCCAGGAAGATCCCACATGCCTTGGAGCAACTAAGCCCTTGTGGCACAACTATTGAGCCTGTGCTTTAGAGCCCAGGAGCTCATGTGCCACAACAACTGAAGTCCTTGCACCAGCGGAGTCCATGCTTTGCAGCAAAAGAAGTCGCCACAGTAAGACTGAGCGCTGCAACTAGGGAAAAGCCCACAAAGCACAAAGACCCAGCTCAGCCAAGAATAAATAAGTAAATCCATTAATTAATTTTTTAAAAAGAAAGCCTGCTCCTAAGTTCAGCCAGCAACCCCCCTGGCTTTCCAGACAGAACCAGAAAATACTGGGAACAGAGAAGTGACGTCCCCTCTTTCCACAGAGCAGCTACCCTTGCACAGCTTAACAAAAAGAGCTGTGGGTGCAGATGTTTCATAAGTACTTCGGGGGAGGTAGGTGAAGAACCAGGGGGAAAGAATTAGAACATTTCTTTTACATAAACAGAAAGCTTGAAATGTGTTTACATCCTGAGAGATACTGCTTTAAACCAACATCACGAGAAAGCATCTATAATTTTTCACCTGAAAAATTGAGATGATAAATACCTAATCTGCAAAGAGAATAATAAATATACCTGAAGAGGCCAAAAATTTCCCAGAACATAGTAGGTGCTCAGACAATACCTGACGTTTACATGGCCTTCACTGTGTGGGCTGCTTTTGGGTACCTCGCCTTTCACGTGTATTCAGGGTTTTGGTGGTGGCTATAAATATTACTGTTGTTGTTCAGTCACTCAGTCCGACTCTTTGAGACCCCATGGACTGCAGCATGCCAGGCTTCCCTGTCCTTCACCATCTCCCGGAGTTTGCTCAAACTCATGTCCGTTGAGTCGGTGATGCCATCCAACCATCTCATCCTCTGTCATCCACTTCTCCTCCTACCTTCAATCTTTCCCAGCATCAGGGTCTTATTGCTACCTGACATTTGGGTAAGCAGATCTTAACTCTGAAGATCATCTTCCAGCCACTGACCACAGAACCAGAGAACCATAACCTCCTTTTAAAGCACAAAAGGGGCATCTTCCTGGTAGTCCAATGGTTAAGAATCCTACTTTGCAATGCAGAGAACGCAAGTTTGATCCCTGGACAGGGAACTAAGATCTCACAAACCTCGAGGGGTGGCCAAGAAAAGGAAGGAAGGAAACTTTGATACACACTGCAAAATGGATGTACCTTGAGGACATGATACAAAGTGAGAAAAGCCAATTACAAAAAAGACAAATACTGTGTGATTCTACTCATGTGAGGTATCAAGAGTAGCCAATTCATAGACAGAAGGAGGAAAAGTGGGAGCCATGGGAAAAGGGAATGGGGTGTTAATATTTAATGGGGACATAGTTGCCCATTACATGAAGATGAAAAAGTTGCAAAGGTGGATGATGGTGATGGTTGTACAGCAATGCACTGAATGCCACCATCAAGTGGTGTACCTTTAAAAATGGTTAAAATGGAGTAGCGCGGGAGCATGGTGATGGTTTAGTCGCTAAGTTGTGTTCGACTCTTGCGACCCCAGGAGCCTGCCAGGCTCCTCTGTCCATGGGATTCTCTAGGAAGAATACTGGAGTGGGTTGCTATTTCCTTCTCCAGGGAATCTTCCCAACCCAGGGATTGAAGCCGGGTCTCCTGCATTGGAGGCAGATTCTTTACCCACTGAGCTACGAGGGAAGCATAGAAGCATATACATTACCATATGTAAAATAGATAGCCAATGGGAACTTGCCATATGACTCAGGGAACTCAAACGGGGGCTCTGTAACAACCTAGAGGGGTGGGAAAGGGTGAGAGGTGAGAAGGAGGTTTGAGAGGGAGGGACACATATATACCTATGGCTGATTCATGTTGATGTATGGCAGAAGTCAAACTAAGATTATAAAGCAATCATCCTTCAATTTTAAAAAATCTACAAACAAACAAAAATCTAAAAATGGTTAAAATGATAAATTTTATGTATACTCTACCACAATTTAAAAAGTGCTTCACTTTATATGAAAATAAGGAAGGAAAAAAAATGCGAGACACAAAAAGTGACGAAAAGGGGAGTGGGTCCCTCTATTCTGATGCTACGGGAACAAATGCTGGACAAAGCTAAGGTGTTTGACCACCACCCCTGGACCCACCTCATCAGCATCTCTAAGCCAACTGATGGCCAAAGCTGTCCACACATAGAGCTGTTGGCCCAGGAGTCATGCTGGAAAGTCGGCAGAGACAGAATGTCACCATTCACTTGGCTAATGGGTTCCTTAGAAGCCCCTGGCCAAATCTCTCTTATTTTTCATTCGGAATAAGAAGGACTTGAATACCTGTGGGGGTGCTCATATGCTGTTTCTCATTGCAGGTGCTTCACAAACCTCATCAGGAGGCAGCACTGGCGGGAAACAGAGTCGGACTTAAAAAAGGAAGATCCATTTATGAAAGGCCAGGCCTCAAACGGTAAGAAGCTGGGCCAGGTTGCTATCCAGGAAATGACTCATGTCTCCCTTGGTCCCTTGAGGCTGCTTGGGAACAGACACTGACGAGCACACACGGAGATGCTTGAGATTCTCAAGAGGAAGGCAGCCTCCGGTGACACCAGAAGCTGGGACACCTGGGGTGGCAGGTGCCCAGCCGGCCCCCAAGGGCGACTCAGTCCACACTCGCGGGTGAAGCACCATTGAAACCAAATCAGAATGCCACAGAGCTGGGTGCCAGGGCTCTTCTCCTGCAGCCACCCACACTTCCTGTGACCTCGGTCACCCTCTGTGCACTCAGGCTGCAGAAACCAGCAAGCTGACTTCAGGCCCCAGACACTTCAGGGAACATGCACTTATTAGGGCCTCCTGATCAATACATTGAACGGCCTGAAAAAGCATCTACCTTCCAACTGCATTTGAAAACCCTGACTGGGAAAAAAAAAAAAAAAAAGAAAACCCTGACTGTGACCTTGACCTTGAAATATTGGTTTCTGTGACAGTGTGCTCCCTGCTCTGCAAGGCTCCCACCCAGCTCCTTCGCCAGTTTTTCCTCCTTTCCTTAATCACAGATGTTGCTCTCTCCGTGGGCTCCTCTGCTCTCACGGTTCCAGGAAGCATCTCCCCTTGAAATTGACACATCACCCTTATGGTGACCACATCATTGAACTGCATGACTCTTACGGCAACCCTGCCCTGCATCCCACACAGCTCCCTGCCAGACTCAAACGTGGCCCCCTCCCAGCCTCTGCATCTCTGCCAAGTTCTGTCCTCCTTCTCCTGGTCAGTCACCCAGATTCAAACCCCTCATCTTCCTGGATTCCTCCTCTCCTTGGCCTTCCACATTATCATCAAATGGTAGAAATCTCACCCCCCAGAGTTGCCCAAATCTGTCCCCGACTCTCACAGTTCAAGTCATCATCACCTGCAAAGTTAGTGTAGGAGTCTCCAAAATTGGTCTCCTTGCCCACAACACCTCTCTGACCCTGTCGGATCTTCCTAAAACACTCTCATTTAGATATTAGTCTTTTTTTTTTTTCATTTTGAAAATATGTAACTCAAACATGTACAAAAGAGACACATATTTTCAGCACCTAAAATGAACCACTGTCAACAGCTTGTCACATTTGCTTCTAGTCCTTTTACTGCATAATGGTCAAATGGCCAGAGGACCTGATGAAGCAACTCAGGAACAAAAATTAAATGCAAGTGATAAGCTTATACGAAAAAAACACCTGACCTGTCTGGTAAACAGGGAAACAAAAAATAAAGTACTAATGAGTGATCCATCACCTTGCACCCCCTGCCCCAGATTTCTACAGTCAGTAGAGGGATGGCATCTACTACCGACGGGTAGGGGAGGAAGTTGTGCACCAATGTGCACCAATGGACTCTGAACCTCACAGCTTTGGGGAAATCAACTGAGGACTGAGCCAGCAATGCTGCTCCTGGAGCTTGGGCCACAAGAATAAAAGCACCTGGACAGAGGATATCTACACAGGTGCTTATTACAGAGGCACTGCCATTTTCTGCCAGTCCAAATTAAGTGTTGCCATCATGTTCAACTGACCAGGTGGCAGGTGGACAACTCTGTCACATCTATACCATGAACCATGCATCACACAGAAATTAAAAGAACAAGGTAGAACCACACTGAACCCCACGGGCATCTCCACATGCATTCAGTGAGAACAGGGTAGACTATGAAAGGAAAGCCTATTTTAATCAGTGGTGTCCCCTGATTTTCTGATGGTCCAGTGGCTAAGACTCCATGCTCCCAATGCAGGGAGCCTGGGTTCGATACCTGGTCAGGGAACTAGATCCCACATGCTGCAACTAAGAATTTGCATGCTACGACTAAAGATCCCGCATGCTCTAAGACCTGGTGTAGCCAAATATTTTTTAAAAACACAAATAATGGTGTCCCCAAAGACACATACATATATGCCTGGGCAGGAAGGAAGGTATGGAGCTACTCAGGGTGTCTTGCCCTTCCATAAAAGGTTTAGGTTAAAAGAATTAGAAAAGAACAGATGTTGGCAAGGATGTGGAGAAATTGGAACCCTGTGTACTGTTAGTGGGGACGTAAAGCAGTGCAGCCACTATGGAAAACAGTATGGAGGTTCTTAAAACAGAATGACCACATTTCATTTCTGGGTACGGACCCAAAAGAATCGAAAGCAAGGTCTCAAACAGATATCGTACACCTAGATATTCACAGCAGCATTATTCACAATAGGCAAAAGGTGGAAGCAACACAAGTGTCCATCAGCTGATGACTGGATAAACGAAACATGTAGATCCATTTGACCTTTAAAAGGGAGGAATTCCTATCACAGGCTACAACATGGATGAACCTTGAGAACATTATGATAAGTGAAGTAAGCCAGTCACAAAAAGGCATATACTGTGTGATTCCACTTGCATGAGGTAACAAGAATACCTCAAATTCATAGAGACAGGAAGTAAGATGGCAGCTGACAAAGGCTGGGTGAGCCGGACACAGGGAGTTGTTTGTTTCTTTAATGGAGACAGTTTCAATTTTGCAAGATGAAAAGAGTTAGGGAGCTAGATGCTGGTGATAATTGCCCAACACTGTGAATGTACCTAACACTACTGACCTATACACATAAAAATGGTTAAGATGTTGTCATGCTAGAGCTTGACTTGAAAAGATACATGCAACCCAATGTTCATAGCGGTAGTATTCACAATAGCTATGACAAGGAGACAACTTAAATGTCCATTGACAGAGGAATGGCTGAAGAAAATGTGGTACATAAACACAATAGAACATTGCTAAGTTAAGTTGCTTCAGTCGTGTCTGACTCTGTGCGACCCCATAGACAGCAGCCCACCAGGCTCCTCTGTCCCTGGGATTCTCCAGGCAAGAATACTGGAGTGGGTTGCCATTTCCTTCTCCAATGGAACATTGTTCTCCAATGGAACATTACTCAGCCATAAAAAGAATGAAATAATGCCATTTGTAGCAACATAGATGAACCTAGAGATTATACTAAGTGAAGTAAGTCAGAGACAAATATCATATGATATCACTTATACGCGGGATCTTAAAAAATGATACAAGTGAACTTATTTACAAAACAGAAACAGATTCACAGACATAGGACACAAATTTATGGTTACCAAGAGTTGGGGGAAAATTAGGAGTTTGGATCAACAGATACACAATACTATACAAAATAAATAAACAAAGACCTATTTATAGCACTATACTCAACATCTTGTAATGACCTATAATGGAAAAGAATTCAAGAAAGAATGAACATGTGTGTGTGTGTGTGTGTGTGTGTATGTGTGCTCAGTCGTGTTCAACTCTTTGGGATCCCATGGACTGTAGCCCGCCAGGCTCCTCTGTCCATGGAATTTTCCAGGCAAGAATACTGTAGTGGGTTGCCATTTTCTACTCCAGGGGATCTTCCCGACCCAGGAATCAAACCTGCATTTCCTGTATTGGCAGGCATATTCTTTACCACTAGCAACACCTAAGAAGCCCTAAGAAAGAACAGATGTGTTCTTTCAGATATATGGCTCTATCTGAGTCACTTTGCTCTACACCTCAAAACTAACACCACATTGTAAATCAATTATACTTCAATTTAAATTAAAAAGGAATAAAGAAGAAAAAAAAGATGTTATGGACTAAATGTGTCCCCCCAAAACTCATATGTAGAAACCCTAACCCCTAAAGTGATGGTTTTAGGAGTTGGTTCTCTGAGAGGTGATTAGATCATGAGGGTGGAGCCCTCGTGAATATAATTAGTGCCTTTATGAAAGAAACAGGAGAGGGATGATCTTCTTCTCTGCCACATGAGCACACAACAAGACAGCTGTCTGCAAACCAGGAAGACAGCTCTCACCAGACACCAGCGCTACCAGCTCCCTGACCTTGGAATTCTCAGCCTCCAGAACTGTCTGCTGTTTGAGTCACCTTGTCTCTAGCACTCTGCTTAGACCACCCATCATCACAAGGACAAATATCTGAAACGGGCACCAAAGTCTGCTCCCACGTTGACCTCAGCCCGCTTTGCCACAGAACTGCTTTCTCTAGGAGCAGTCCCTCATTCCTCCAGCTGCTCTGTTCCTCCAGTTTGGCTCACACACATGTCCATGCTCCTCCACACTGCCCACTCACCTGGAAGGCTGTCACTACAGAACCAGGCAGACCCTCCAGAGCCCTCTGCATATTCTCCATCACCTTAAACACCTGCGTTACCATGGGCATAGTCCCTTCCCTTTCCATAAGCTCATTAGACCTTTTTTTTTAATCTGGCTGCCCCAGGTCTTAGTTGTGGCACGTGGGCTCTAGTTCTGTGACCAGGGATCAAACGCAGGCCCCCTGCCTTGGGAGGGCAGAGTCTTAGCTACTGGACCACCAGGGAAGTCCATCCTTTTAGGCTTTGAAACAAGCCCTCCCTGTGTGACTGGTGCCCTAATGAAGATACCCAGGAGCTGATTAAAACCTTTACTGAGATAGGATGCCTTGTGTAGCCCAAACGGTGCTTCAAGACCCACTCAGCCTGTCAGGTTTCTCCTCTCTGCACACCTGTCCCCAGACTATTCTGAACCAGCTGTCTGTCATCTGGGTCAATTTTCCTCCCTGGACTCTAAGGCATCAGGCCCAGAAAAAAAAAAAAACTCTAAAAGCTTCAGAATATCAAAGTTTCGAGAATAAAGGCTGTAGGTGATACTACCCACAGAATGTTCTCCACACCTCCCATCACACACATTTGCACCCAAGCCCATTGGCCTCCAAGGCCGAGGTCCGAGAGGTCTCCTGGACTCCAGCTGACTTCCGATTGTTTGTCAGACTCACTTCCTGAAATAATCTCCAGCCCACTGTCTTTTGCACCCCCTCATCTGTCCCCTCCACCATCCTCATCACCTTTCCAGAATACTCGCTGCGTGCAGGTTCGTTTCACTCCAGCGCTGTGGTGAAGTCCTCTGACCATAGGGCACGCACCCTCCATCCATTTGGGATCTCACCTTTGTCTTCACCTGACCCTAATGCAGAAATGAACCATCTCTTGTTCCCTCATCTTGATTTACACACTCAGGACTCTTCCAGCAACTTGCCTGGGATGCTTCCCCCACTGCCCTATCCACCCCCCCACCCCCACCCCAGCCCTGAAAACTCTCCTGCACTCCCACAAATCTTTCTACCATTTATCAACAACTCCAGCAAGTGTAGGCTCCACACATGTTGGTTCAGTGCATCTTAACCAGAGTGGTTTTACCCCCAGGGGACATTTGGCCAGGTCTGGGGACATTTTTCGTGGTCACAGCTGGGGTGACATCTCATGGGTGGAGGCCTGCTACAAAACGAACCTGCCCATAAAGTCAACAGTGCAAGGTTAAGAAACCCAGAGACAGAGCGGGCTTCAGATGGAAGAATACAGTGCATCCTTGGGACAAAGTCATCTTCTTGTGGCCAGAAGCACAACCTGGGACACCCATACCTGTGACTTCAGGTCAGGGCAAGGCCATACCAGGAAGAAGATGGCTGAGTAGGAAGCCAGCACCCATCCCAACACTGTCACCAGCCTCCTATGTCACCTTGAGGAAGACATTCAACCTCTCTGGGCATTAGGTTTCCATTAGGTCTATAAAACAGAGGGTTGAAGGAGAGCAGCTCTTCCCTAAAGTGATCTGGACAGATCCTGAAAAATTGTTTCTAAGTTTGGGGAAATATTATATACCCTCCAAGAGAGTCAGAGAACCCATCAGCATCTTCAAGGCTCTGAGAAGTCCTGCAGGCGAAGTCCGGCTTAGCAGGTTTCAACTCTAGTGGTTCTCACCCTGGAAGAGAAGGGGATGTTCTTTCCACACTTTCCCCTCCATATCCCTAAGGACTCCAGCTTGGAGGGCCTCCAAATCTCTCTCGGCTCTGCTGCTTCTTGATTCTAGGATGAGCAGGGCTCTGCCCCCTCCCAAGGCCACACTTCTCTGGCTCTAAAGAAGGTGTGAAAGCGTGCTGCCAGTTGAGTGCTCTCCAGTGGGATGTTAGGGGCTGCTTACTGCTCCACTGACTCTCTGCTGGGCCACACCCTGCCCCCAAGTCCCCTGAGGGTGGGTCCAGTGGAGCAAGGTCAGAGGCGTGCTTTTTGGTGGGTAACCTCGGCTGGTTCTGAGCCTCCATTGGGTCTCTCCTCTTAATCTAGACCAGGGTTTGACAAACAATGACTCCATGGGCCAATCTGGCCCACTGCCTGGTTTTGTAAATAAAGTTTTATTGGCACGAAGCCACTCCCTTTGGTTTACACATTGCCTCTGGCATTCCC